AATTCTTCCCTAATTGCGCCTTTGACTCGAAAGACAGTTGAACATTCAGACAATTTCATTATTTTAACGAGGACACATGGTTTGGAGCAATTGTTACTTTTAAGTTGAAATAAAATTTAAATATATGGAATTTAATGTAAGGTATGCTACTGCTATACATATTCCATCTCGACGTTTGGCGATCCACAACACAGCGATTTTAAGGCACTTTTTGACGCGCATCACCTTGTGATTCCAGCTGCCAGTAAAGGTTTTTCTAAACCGATACAACTTAGGTGCCTTAAAGAAAAGATCGTTCTATTAAGGTCGTCAACACACTAGACCCCAGCGTTGCAGGGGGTGTATTGCAAGTTGTCGTCGCAGGCAGCATGCTGGCTGCCACAGCGTAATTATGTGTCCTTCAATATTTAGAAAACGCTTGTAGAATTGCGATGCGCCTTTTGCTACTGACAACTAAAATTTAAATATGTAAATGTGTCAAAGTCAGAACTAACAATGGACATTCGGCTTACTCCAACATAGTACGGGGCCACTGAAAATTAGTGTTGCTGGTGACAGCAACTTAAAGACGAGAAGGCCATATGTTGATTTTTTTTAATTGTATTTATTTATGTTGTGTAGCAATAATATTCAAGTAAATGTTTTTCTTTGATAATGGTATATGGATTAAAATAACGCTCAACTAAACTTTAGAGTTTACTAGAAATTATTTATTTCGTAATCCTAAAAACAAAGAAATACACTAAAAATATAGCCAAAGCTATTTAAAAAAAAAAATAATTGAAGTGAAACTCTTTATCGGGGTTGGAAAAAAATTAAGAGAAATTTTGCGTTACGCGTCAGCATCTTTCCGTTACGCGCCAAATTGCTTTTGAAGTCAAACTTCTTTATAGGCGTTATAAATATGACATATGTTATGTTTTTGTAATTTGAAGTTTGACAACGGATTTAAGTTTTGCAGTGAAACTCTTTATCGGCGTTAAAATATGACATATAGTATGTTTTTGACTTTGAAGTTTGACAACGGATTCATTTTCGACTTGAAATTTGCTAATCGCAATTTGCAGCAATTAATTTGTAAATTGAAAGCTAGGCAGTGTATCAAAATTTACTGTTTTTAAAGAAATAGTTTGGACCTCTAAACTTAAAACAAACCAATAATGGCTCTAGCGTACAACAAAGGTTTTATAATTTCACTTTAACTGTTACGTCTTTCACATATTTTAATGTAAGACATTTAATAAATATTATTAATTGGTGTTGAATGATGTAAATATGAAGTGTGTCTGTTGGGGTATGCTCATGATGCAGGTGATTTTGCGCTATGGATATTCTTAATACTCATTTTAACTATATTCCGCGATAGCTTAAACAAGAAGTTGAAGTGAAAATTATGAGATTTTTTTGTTTTCTCATTAAATAATTTATTGTTTGTATGTATATTCTAATTAGTATCTGAAGTCACAATCACGTCTTGAGCACTGTCAAATATGACAAACTTTATAAAGAAAAAAAACAAGGGTAGCGTGTACTTAAGTTCGCGCTGGAAACTCAGGTTGCCCTTTGGCATTATTAAAAATAGTTTTTGATTGCATGCAAATAATTAATTACAATTAAATAATCAAAGACTGGAAAAGGAGTCATTAAAGTCAATAAAGTTCAGTTTACATTTGAAAAATTAATTAAATAAATATTTATTATTATTCTCTTACATTAAACAAATAAAACACTATTTATCTTTAAAACATTTTTATTTCATTATACTATTTATTTTTAAGTGACTCTAATGTCTTCATCAGAATTTCGGTTTGTAATTTTAAATTAATCATTACTTGGTTGTGCATCTACGAGGCTTCTCCAAAACTACTTGCTTTCTGCAACAAATAAGAGAATATTAATTTAAGCTCTGTCCATGCAAAACTTAAAATTTTTTATAAATTTTTTAACACATTTATATTAATATAATTATATAAATGTGTTAATAATATAATTTGTAGCACATGCTACAGACCTGGATAGCAACTTTCTTTTATTCTATTTAGAGATAGAGATAATTTAAATATAATACCGGTGTCTTCCTTGTAGGTTTCTTTGGAGTTGTTTGGGGATTCTTGTTGTTCAGTTCGACATGATTTTCTTTAACCTTTCTTTAATCCTACAAAATAATGAAATTGTTAAGTTATGTTGTCACTGTTGTGCACACCTTTGTTTGGCTTTTTTAGTATTCAAGTTATGTCAAAACTGATTTATTACCTTGTCATTGTTGGCTTTATTTGCTTTTGGGATATCAATTGTTTCCAAAATGATTTTATTTGTAATAACCTGAAATATATAAATAACATCTATTAATTTAAGTATCATGGTGAGTGGTTCGCACTCAGGTATTAAGGTGTATTATACCCACTGTCCATTATAAGTGGGAATGGGCTCACTTCTGGCAGGACAGAGTTTCGGTACTACAAGTGCAACATGGATGTTTTGAGGTATTACAATATCTCTAACTACCCTGTAGGGGAATAAAGTAATGTTGTAAGCATATGCCTATGCTTGAAAGGTTGAACCTTGAACATCACCATACATCATATTTATAATTAACATTCCTACCTCGACACCATCACAATCAAATTCATTGAAATCTACTTCAAACCATTGTGTCTCGAGAAGGTGATGGTGGCTTTGTTCCACCTCCAGTTTTTGATGTTTCACGGCGATAAGATGACAACTCTTTTTTTGTATTCAATTTAGTGTACTTCCACTGATTCATCAATTGTTTTTTGTCTCTTGTCCTTATATTTGCTAGATTAAATCTGATGTTTTGATTAAATAATGTGGTCATTTTTTTGAGATGCAGGTACTTATTAAAATGTTTACTTCTCTGTTATATCGCTCCAAGCCTTCATTTTTTCCCTGTATTTATGTATTCGTGCTTACAATCTTTGTCTCAATTAATGTTTCGTTGAATATTTCTAAAAAGTTGCTGTAACAAACGCAATAAACAAAAGCAATGAATAATGGTTCATGTTTACTAGATTTTATTCAACAATAATCCTCGATAATACATACGAGATAGTTAACCTCAATTGTATTGCCAAAGCACAAAGGAAGGTTACAGTTTTTTCATTCAAATATTTTATATTATTTCACAAATATTTTGTATAATGAAAATAACAAGGTATATAATTATTAATTTTAAACAATAAACTCCTATAGTTGATTTTAAAAGCTAATGTCATTGTCAGATGTCAATTGTCATGGTCATTCAAAATTCTTGTTAAGCTGCTAAGCTTAAAGAATATGCTTGAAGTTGAAACTTCACATATCTATTTTGTTTACTTGTAGTTTGTCTAATTCCCATCTTGTTCGTGCATGCTATATCACACTGCCAATTTTGTATCATAGGTGCGGCGCAATCACGTCTTGAGCACTGTCAAATATGACAAACTTTATAAAGAAAAAAATGGTTTCACAGCTCTTGTCTTGTTACAATTTAAGTTTGATTGACGTTCTAGAATAAGGGCCGAATAATTAATCAAATTTGTTTAATTGTGGTATTTAATTTGCAAGTTTCTTTTTATGTTAAAATCATTTTTTACTTTTCTAAAAACAATAGATTATTTTTTTCGTATAAAGCGAGATCGGTGATCATTTAACCCAAATCAAAAACAATGGTCGCGTAAACAATGCCCTCGTAATTAAAGTTTCTTTATAACTTTTTGTTTAGTTTACGCTGCAAATATTAATAAATATCTGAAGAAAGTGTCTGATTAATGCGGGCACAGCAAACGGTTACTGTATATTTATGTACCGGTTTTGGGACATCTACAGATTCGATAATCATAAAAAATTGCAAGAACCTGTCAACTTATAACAGAAGTTTATTTTATCTTTTAGTAATATATTAAATAATAATATAAGATTTTCCCTAGTGATAAAAGAAAATGGGTCGTAAATGTATACTGCTGTGGTGTAATAAAATAAAAGGGGTGTGTTATTTGCACAGCGTTTCCATGGCAACCTTTCCTAAGCCAAGATGCAATAAAGGGAATTGACACACATGTTTGGTTAGTGTTTATTGAGGTCAGACGATATCTTATATAGGCGATTCTTTTAAATACATGATTCTATAAGTTCTATTTTAATATTATTTTAAGGAATATGCGGGTGCATGCATTATAATGTGCCCCGCAAAACCAAAAAAAATTGTAATTTTGGGTTATTATTTATTTATTGCTTCGCTTGCCAACGATTTTACTACAACATAATCTATATGGTTGCGCTTCTAAGCTGCAGCCTTGCAGCTATATTTAGCTATTTTGTCACAGTTACCGACATTATTCATTCTGTCGGTAAAAATATTACACTACTTAACCGACACCTAAATTTCGCTTCCACGATATCTACCTCGTTTTAACACTAACATCTTACCGACGTCGTATTAATTACCGACAGCAGGAGAAATGGCGGTAACTGTCACAAAACAGTATAGATTTTAAACTTGTGTGCTTCTTTAAGAAACTACAATATATTATGTAAAATTAAACCAATAACCTAAGTTGTTCTCATAATTTTAGTCGTAAATTAAGAAGTTCGTATAATTTTTCAACTATTATTAACAATAAATGAAGTTTAAACAAATTCCTACGTCACCACAATAAGAGATTGTAAGATGTGCAACAGTGTTAAGACCTGCAAACTTGAAAGCGCCTGTCACATTCCGGTCAACTTAAGAGTTGTAAGTTTTAATAATAAACTTAGGTTTTAATGTTGTATCAGAAGTAATTTCCGCCGACATGGAGGAACAACCATTTTACCGTTCTGATGTAAAGTATTTTACCACTATTTTTAGAATACACAATAGACGCATAGAATACGGGTTACCTCGTCTGGAAGAGATCACTTATATAAGGCTGCCCTTTGCTCATCCGTTAGACTTAATTTTTGTTTCTTATTTCCTTGTGTGCAAAAATGTGTAAGTGTTTAGTCACCGCTTCTGCTGAGTCATGTTAGCATGCTTTTATTTCCAGACCGGAGCAAGACATCATGGTATGTCCGGTAGAATAACCCATACTAATAAAAGTTTAAGAAAAATAGATTATACTATAAGGAAAAGTGTTTGATTTTTTTTTTATTACAGGCCTGCTATCATGGGACGCTGGCGAGCACCAGGTCGATTTGGAGAAGGAACTGGCCACCCTCACGGCACAGGCACCCGAGGGGGAGGAGGCCAGATATGGTGAGCAAATTTAAATGATAAATATAATATATTATACTAAATTAACGCTCGGTCCGGGTCCGATTTTCTAAACCTGATTACAAATAGACTCGGAAATTATGCTCAACGCTCTATAAGCGAAGAATTCGTAAAGAAAGAATTCGGTAAGGAAACACTTTGAAATTTTAGTTTAAAAGCCGGCTATTTATGTGAATCTCATGTGAAATAAAAATATTATCAGATTTAAATATTACAATTCTATTAAAATATTAGAATTCTAACAAAAGCTGAAAAGTTAACAAAACGGTATTGTACTCTTGCGAGAAATTACTTTTCCTTGGAACCTCAGTAAACCAGTAATTTAGTTACAAAGATAAACAACCCACTTTCTTTGAGAGGGCCTAATTGTGTTTAAGATTGCTTAGGATCCGTGGTAAATACTGGCACAAGTTCTATCTTTATTGTTAGAACTTCTTTCGCATTAAAGTCACGTACTAAAAATGTGTCAGATAGGGGAACGTCTTGGTTTTTTTCATTAATCGTGAAAGTATAATTTATTAATGAGAACATAAGAATAAAGGATATTCGATGTTAAAAACTATAAGAAAGAACAATTAAACAAATATCAGAGTGACACAATAATTTTTTTTATATGTAACACAGATTTTAAAAAGGTTTTCATTTTACTTGATACCGTTAGAACAATTAGCGTTATATTCGAAGGGACTGAGTTTGAATCCCGACAAAAGTATAGTTTCGGGTATGGTTGATTACCCCAAAAAACTATTAATCAAATGGACAAAAAAATTGTCTTTCAGAAGAGATAACGGAAAGTTCAAAATTACAAAAACAGTCGTGAAGCAGTCATGATTTGACATTCTGAAATTAGGGAGCTTGTAGTTTATTGTTTATCAGAATGCCAAATCATAAAATGACTGCTTCATGACTGATTTGGGAGCGCCCCCCCCTGCTGATTTGAGAGCGACCGCCGATGCAAAAACCTCTGTGTGAGTTCGAAAAGTGAGTTACAGAATCGCAAGGCTGCACTATTTTTCAACGAGATTCTGAAGATAATAACTACGGAACAGTAATATAATATTATTTGTAGGTACGGCGTAGCACATCATCAAGGTCATGTGTCTACGACACATGAACTTTACGATCTACTTGGCTCTTTATTTATTACAAAGTTAGCTCAGATTTCAGCAAACTGACACGCCTATCTTTGTTTCTAACTGAATGAGTTCACACAAATTTGTGCGCTTCCACTCGATTTCCCCCGAAATACTAAATGCCAAGATAGAACCGTGAATTTTTGTTCCATATTTGTTTGAATTTGGTAATGATCTGGAAAAGTTAAAGGGATTTTAAACAATATTTTTGTCTTTAAGACTATTTGTTTGTATTGAATTGGACAACAGGATAACGTTTGTCGGGTCCGCTAGTTATTTAAAAAAATATGTTTCCCAGACTCCTGATATAGTGAAAACTATATTTTATTGTTTAGCAATATAAAATTTAAATAAAGATTATCAATTTTTAATTATTTCTGATAAAGTAAACTTTGTGGCATTAATTATATATTTGTAATTGCGACTACGCATAATCTTTCGTAGAAGGTTTAGCTTTGTTTCATAATTTTATTAAGGTAAATATTTTAACGTTCCAAACGAAATTTATAGGACTTATTTAATAACGGTAATTATCATTCACACAAGTTTAAATATTATTAACTTTTTCACGTATGTCGCAGGCGTTACCTCGAATAATACTTTAAATGCATTTTGCAAACCTTAATGACACGCTAGAGTGTTGCGGAACATGTATTACTTTGAATTTTCACTTTTCTCTCTTATTTTGTAAGTCTCTGTGAAAAATACCTTTGAAACATTCCCTCTGAGAATTTTTAGAGCGAAATTCAGAATTTAAAATGAACAAGTCATTAAATAATTTTCGTTCTATTCGACGGAAACTTAGATTGTACAAAGGGAGTGCGGCTTTAATTACTGAATACTTGTATGAATATCAAACTGACAATGTACAAAATTCGTATTTATGCAATTGCTATTTTTTTCAATTACATAGAATACAGACAAAAGAATACGTAACTATTATCTACGTTCTATACAGCTTTAAAGTTTACTTCACTTTTAAAAGTATACATGTTTATCCTTGATAATACAATTGCATTAATAGACCAATTGAATTAACGTACGAAAAATATCCAAGAAGCTATGAACACCACCCATTGTTCGAGATAACGAGAATAAAACACGGGGTACAGTTAATGATATCAATATGTATTTTTTAAGGTTGTATATATATAAGTTAATTAAAATATATACAGAAACTTTAAGCTAGACTGGCGTACTACAATAAATTAACAGTACAATGCAGGGTGACCTGTTATTTTAAATTACGATTATTTTTTTTCTTCTACATTTTTTTATTATTCATTTAAAAACATATTTCATTGGCTTGATCGGAACCAGTGATAAAAAATACTATCTATTTAATATTAATTTACGTGTCGTGTGTGTAAGTTTTATTAACGTGATTATAGCTCAAATAAAACAGTAATAACATCAATATATTGAGCTAAAGACGTACCCCACGTAATGAAAAGACTCCCAATGTTCACCAAATCTAATAAATCTTCTAAATGATATAGCGACTGTGTAAAGCAGATTATCACCTCGTGTGAAGAGGCAATAAATCTCATCTACCCTTGAAGGAAAGGCCAAGGTCATACCTTTTTCGTTTCTTTGGGTAAATTAAAATAAATGTTCTCACTAACGAAGAGAAATTTGTTTTGCGGTATTTTAAGTAATGTTTATCCGTTCTTTTGTAATTGTTTTTGAGTATGACAATAGTAATTCGGTTAGCGGTAAATTATATTTTATTATATATATGTGCGTTCTAAATATTTATATTCAAGATTTTGAAGTTATACTGCTTTAGGCGCGTTATGAAAAATTTATGAGAGTGTAATTTTACGATGCGCGCGGACCGTGACACAAAATTAACAGTATGAAGTTGCCCACGGAAGATGCTACGGCATTGGACATAATTTAAAAACACATTCGAATAATAATAGAATTTATGTTACCTTAATGTAAGATAATAATAATAAATATTGATTTATTGAATTTTTCAAATGTAAACTGAACTTTATTGACTATAAGTAATGACTCCTTTTCCAGTCTTTGATTATTTAATTGTAATTAATTATTTGCATGCAATCAAAAACTATTTTTAATAATGCCAAAGAAGTATAACTTCTTACGCGCGTACATAGGTACACGCACCCTTTTTTATTATTAACGCATATATAACAATAAATATATACGAGTATATCATAAAATTAGATACATAACTAAGAAACAAATATTTATACGTGATATATATATGTCCAGGGTGAATAAATCTATATACTATAGATCTGTGCCTGTAGTCAGAGGTCTCCTGAAGGAATTTTATTAAATATAATATTTTTATCCGATATGGTGTTATTATGAACTATGCTTGTTCTACATTTGTACTATGATATCTACAGTTAAGATAAAATAATTATAACGTTTCAATTTTCGATATTCGCAGGCGAGCGACTAATTCAGTACGCTTCAGAAAACCTGGTGACGGAGATCCTGATCCACCCACAGATGAACACGCTGATGCAGTGTATGAGGAACCTGCTCAGCTCTTTCACTCGGCACAGACACCTGGTCCACGCCGGTTACACCTTCGCGGGTAACGGCTCTTGGATCATGCAGGTTGGTATATTTTAAATTGGTAATAGTGAATATTTTAATATGAATGACGTAATACTAAGTATATTATAAAAATAAAATACTTAGTCCTGAATTCTATTATTTTATTACTAAGTTTTCCACAAACAAAACTGCTCTCCTTTTTGAGGGACTTTATTAGAAGACGGAACCGCTTCATTGGATATCAGATTTAGACGCCGATAAAAAATATATTTCATAATCTTTATAAATTATATTAGAACAATACTCAAGTAAGCAATTCTACAAGTGTAATGCAACAGGATTAACATTTTATTTATTATTAAGTTACTTACCCACTTAACAATGTAAGCGACGAAGTCTCCTACTCTTTATCGTTACATAAATGAGACAATTTTTCTATAAATCTATTCCGCTTGAACAGCCCAAAATAACTTTGAAAACTTGTCAAAGCGAAAATCTCGGAAAATATAAATCTAGCGATTTCTGCCTTTGATAGCTGCTCCAGACTCCATTATATTCAATAGGTCTTTTATCTAAAGCACCCTCGTCTCCGAGTCGCTTTTGCAAAAACTTCAGCTGTAATTTGTTATTGAGAATGACGTTTCAAAGTCAGCCTCGTGTATAGGCCATGTATTAATTCCGTTGTTTCTATATATCCTGAGTGTATTATACATTTGACGAAGACTATTTTAAATTAACTTTTCTGTCAAGTTGCTTATACTATTAATAAAATCCTAAAATATTTTTGATCAAATTACGTATATGCGGTATCGAAGGCTTGATTACGTATTTACCAACAGACACAGAGCTGTCTACATTATTACAAAGTTACGGGACATCTTTCGTTCAGTCATTCGAAGAAGCAAAATTATAAAACATATCTACAAAGTAATAATATACACGATCGTAGAGGCGTAGCAACAGTACGCCACGTAGCAAGACCCGTAGCTTCATTGGTTAGAATTTAAAGATTTGCTGCGGTAGTGACCTTTGAGCTGACTAGTGATAAAACTAAAATTATTACATAAATATTATTTTACAGAGATATACAGTAACTGCTTCCGTAGTATCGGCATAGGCATACGCTATGCAGTACATGATCTTGTGGTTAAGAATAGGTGAATAAACAATAATTATTCAGCATGGCAAAGAAGGCTGATCACCTCATCTTAAAGATTATCGATAAAACGTGCTAATGAAACATGCAATTTCAAAAACACAAAACAGCCGACACAAACATAACAGAATTCCAATTTCAATTTAGTACATGTTCACGTTCATGTATGCACGTTCATGTACAGGTTATTTGTGAAGTGTGAATTCAATACGGAAACTAAAACTAATTCACAGTTTGAACTTAAGTCAATACGATTTCATGACAAGCAGCTGTATCATTGGTCAAAACGTTAGAACTTCGTTGTTGATGTTGCTTAATTATTTTCGAATACATACAGTGCCTGGTGTAAAATATACTTAAGCATCCTAAGCTGTGGGGTATGCGAAATGGGTCATTTTTATGTGGTAATCGCCATATTGCTTCTGGTATTCTTCTGAAAGAATAAGAATAATGTTAGCTTATCATTGCCTACAATACTAAAACTAAACTAAAAAAAATAATTTTCATTTAAATTCAAATTTCTAATACAAATGCAAATGCATTCTAAATACGTTTAACAATAGAGTGAATTAATTCAATGCAAATAGAAGTATAATAAATTGTTGGAAATACGGCAAAAGTTAAATTATAGAGAAATGTTGCAATTAAGCTCGGAGCTTTTTCCCGTGTGCTTATTGAAAAGTGCACTTTAAAGAGTTGAGAAATGACGTGTGTTACAGTTTAAATGCGGGAATTTAACTTTTAAATAGAAAATGGGAAATATATGAAACTGTGTTATATAAATGATTGATGATTTTGACTTGAAAAATATTACTAAATTATTTAGTTATGTACATTAATTTAATTTATTTTTCGGGCAACATCTCTCATGGGAAATCTCTCCATTAAGTTTCAAGACTTCCTTTGTTACAAAATCCATTAAGTTTTTATTATGTAAAGTACCTACTTCAAAATGTTTCGTGATCAATAATACGTCGCTGAATAAAAAGATATACCACCTATATACGAGCTTCTTATTGGTAACGAATTTATTATTATAAAGAGATAATTAGTAATTTACAACGGTTTTTATAATCATGTTTAAAAAAAAATATCCACAGTTATTAATTTTCTGGTTTGATAGTTTTTACTACTGAACTTGTTACTTGAAGTGTTTTAGAATAGGTTACATTATACTTAAATGTATTACACCTAAATCTGCAATATGTTGGCTGACCTTATTAAAAAATTAAAATCTTTTACCTCTGCCCGGTAATATCAACACCAACGAAGTGTTGGGAAACGTGAAAGTGTAATATCCGTTCAACCTGGCTCAAGTGGCTATGACAGTTTTAATTACGACCCGGCGATGTTTCACTTAATTAGTTTTTAATAACACTTCGCTATAACTTATTTTACGCCCCACGTCATGTTTTTCGTTTGCGTTTTATAACTAATTTCATCAAAGGTATTCCGCAAATACATCCTGAAAAATTGTGTCTCTTTAAATTAATGCAAAAAGAGCAGTGCGGCCTAATGGTTTCAGCTTCTCATCCGTGAGGTTCTAGTTCGAAGCTTCGAATCATTGGCACCAATGGACTTTCTTTCTTTGTGCGCACTATTCGCTCGTACGCTGAAAAGGCAGAAAAGACTTTCGCCTGATGTTATTTTTGACATTTATATATATGCTCTGCTGTCTTTAATAATATATCACGCGAAACATGGATTAATGGTTAAACCTCGTTACAAGTCTAATCGAACACAAACTTGACGTTTAAAAATGTCGTAGTATTACTAACAGTATCTAGTAATTATCCTCGTCCATTCTACGCCTTTCATTGAAAACTGCTTTAAATGTAAAGAATTATTTGATTTTCATATTGACATTCTTAAGTCTACATTATTTTACCTATAATACTAAATTATATTTTGATTTGATTTAATTAACATTGCAAAGCAGATAATTGGATTTACTTTTGACATTGCTGAGACATGAAGAAATTGTTCATGTAATTAATATAATATTCATATTGAATACGACAATCTTTAATTTAAACCAAATATTAATATTTTGAATTTTACTAACTCACCTGTGTGTAAATTGTTCGCTCGTCTTACATTATCATAAAACTCAGACGCTTAAAAACACAGATGCAATGTTTGTATTCATGAATATTTTTTTTTCAGGACGGTACATTTTCACTGGCTGACTTCACAGACGCCTACCAAGAGAACGAGGTGCAGCGCGTGATTCGCGCATACGAGAACTCCATTTCTATTGACATACATTGCTCAGTCGCAAATGGCGAATGGGCCAAGCTCCCGGACATGCCTTTCGTTAAGCACTGCAAGATTCGTGTCAACCCCACTGACACTCTCGACTCTGGCTCGCCAGCCATCAAGAATTTTATCGGTAAGTGTAACTACAGCGATAATCAAACACGTATTGCACATTTAAAAAAAGAATACAAGTAAGACAAACATAGAAATGTTTACGGAATTAATTAGAAAAAAAGATACTGTTAGCCATAACAACCTCATAGTGAGATTTCATATCAATATTGCTACTTGAGTAAAAAGCAGCTTACGTTGTATACTTATTTAATTGACACAGATTATTCACCTTTTGCGATAGAGAATAATGAAGTATGTTTCCGATCAGTCGATCACAAAAGCACAGAGTTTTTTTAAGGAGTAACAAAAATTAATGTAGCTTGATATTTATTGCATTCTGAATACATATCAACACCAAAATTAACTTGAAGCCTAGTAAATTGCGAATATTTTGCTGCATTACCATATGAATACAACAATTTGCCTCGAAGCCAAGCGGCTCACACGCTGTGTAACTTGCTACTTGTTCCGTCTATTTATGTGAGTTATGAATAGATTCTGATGCGTACTTAGAACCTACCTATATCCATATTTTATGAATTATATTTATAATTCGTTAAAAGATTTGATATTTTGAAAGTAATCTTGCTAAGAGTAGGTATTTTTTGCTGAAAGTAAATTAAGATTTGTGAGACGTGATTTATATATTTCGGAGGCCAAGACACATTTTAGGTAGCAGTCAATCTAATCAGGTATTGTAGGCAACTTTGTTACCATGTAAATGTTACACCACGAGACCGTTTTTCAGTTTAAAAATAAATTATTATAAAAATAAATTATTATAAAAATAAATTATTGTAAAAATAAACCTTTACCTCTATATCGCATTGCTAAGAACAATATTTTGTTACATTTTGTACTCAACGTTCGTACACATCCTTCGTGACGCCGTACTATTATTGATCATATAAAAAGAGGAGAATACGTCAGGGGATAGATTTAAATTGTATTTTGCTCCAAAAATAGGAGTTACATACATTGTGGTTTGAAATTGTCTGAAGTTGGAATATTCCGCTAATGTGAAGCTAGTGCGCTAATTAGCAATTAACGTGAGACGTCAAGAAAGTTGGTAGGTATTGTATAAAACTTACAATCCAAGTGTCGAAGAAGTTTATACTTTTAAGTTAATACTTTTTCCATACACGTCACCGCCTAAAATTTCTTAATAAGTATTAAACAACATCTCTTTACTATTTTATGATTAGTAGACTTGAAAGTAGATATATTTTCTTTTAAAAAGTACGAAGTCTTCATTAATTTGGCCATAGAGTCCTATATATACATAAATACCTTCTCCAAATACATTACAGCCTACAATTATTTTTATCCTGTATAATATCGGCCTATCCTGGCTTCAATGGCTAAAAATTAATTTATAACTGGAGCTTGGAAGAATGAAGCAAATGGTGAAAGAGTTTTTGAAATCGGTACAATATTTAATAACTAACAAACGATTACTATAGATAATTTTACAAAAATGACGTGTTTAATTCGATTTCTGTTGAAGTCACGGTAATGGCTTATTTTTAAACTTCATGTTCATAACTATCATAAATACGATATTTTTTACGTACCACATTTGGTATGCACTTAAAATTTATAACTTCTGATTATATTCTGATATATTATTATCACCATAGTTGTTGGAAAATGTTATTATATTATGTAATACAAGTAACATTCTATCCTTCCCATCTTACTGCTTAGGATTATTGTTCGAAATTCGAATTGTTTCGCAGTTTGCGATTAGCAAGTTCAACTGTCATTGCTGTTCAGTCTCAGTTTGACATAACTGTGTAATTGTTAACCATAGCTGACATCTGTCAACATACTAAATTAATAACGTCAATTTGTGGGTCTTTTTTCGGAGTATCCGTGAATAGAAAATAAAATTAAAATTAAATTGTTGTGCAAAATACTTATACTAATCTTGTTAAACTTTCAAATGTTATTAACGCATCTAAGATATTATATTCTCACTTATTCAGCGCCTTTACGATTGCCAACATTTAAATTATAGGTAGTTAACACAATTTAAATGAAACTGAACGTTATCTTTTCAGTTTATTTTACATACCAAGCACCAGAAGTCGACTCTTGTACTATTGTACCTCACTACAAAAGTACAGGAGTCGACTTTTGGTGTACAGGAGTCAGTTGGTGTGGTAGTGAGTTTTTATTTGTGATATGTGAAAAATATATAATTTCTGTTGGTATTTTCTCTAACTTGGCGCTTTTGCAAACAGGATGCTTAAATCAAGTTACCATCGGAAGCATTCGTTAGGACTCCAGCTGGTCTATAATTGACCCAGATCTAGCCTTACTCAATGTAAGGCTTCGCAATCAATGACCTAGCAACGCTTCCGTTCTATTTGCTATAGATCAAATAGCTGAGTTGAGTTTAATCTGCATTAAATTTTTGTACCTAATAACATATTTCTTTAAATACATTAAATATTTAAGGCGTATTTTCATAAATTTAGCAATACAAGTCAAGTTCAATCAATAATCTGGTCCTCAAAATTCCAAACTCTTCGGATTAAAATTATTCCTTTTTAACATATTTCATATTATATTGCGTTATTTATTTATTCAAACTTTCACATTAAAAATAAAAACAAGTAACATAAATTATTAGGGATGCAAGGGGTGACCATGGGGCTTAGTCAAGATGCCTTAACAGTAGACACGAACTATCATTTGACGTGTCAACAAATTTTCATACAAATTTAGTTTTCGACTTTCTACATACACTACTGTTAAGGTATCTTAATTAAGCGCCCTTATCGCTAACAAGCGATCTAATAAAAACTAAAAAAATAAATTAAACAATTACCATACTTAATCTAAATTAAAAAATTAATAAAATAAACTAAAAGCTTCATGAATTACAATTCAAAATGCAATAAATAAGAGTAAGAAAATACATGAATAAAAAAAGTCGCAATTAAGCAGGGTACGATATTATGTTAGGTGCAGGTTAGAGAGGTAGCCAACCGTAGTTGAGTAGAGTATCTTTAGTAAAAGATTAAGTTTAACCTTCATTTACTTTTCTACATTTCCTGGTAAACGGGACCAGTCAAATTGTGATCTGCAGTTTATCCGAAGTTATTTTCTTTATACATATAATTAATAATTTAGAGACTTAGCAGGGATTCCCTTAAACCAACTATAAATACGTTAAAGTGTAATTTTTATTAATTACAGCGTACCTGGAACCTTACATCGTTCCAGCCAGCTTGGAACAGCTATTGGTTCCCAGTGACGTGGTCGGTAACATTCGATTCAGCCACCCCACTCTCTACGTCTTCCCAGGAGGACAGGGTGACGCCGCCCTCTTTGGAATTAATGGATTTAATATGCTAGGTAAGACTTAAATTATATGAAATTCATAAAACGTTTAAAAATAAAAAAGAAAGTTATACAGTTGGCAACAAGCAGTGTGAATGGATTTTGTGTTTGACTACAGTCCGAGAATGCTATCTTATTGTATTGCTGTAGTGGTACAATATTCTCAAGTAACCTACAATATGGTCAACATTTGAGACGTTACGGTAAAACTTTGTTATTTTTTGGATTTTTCAATGCTCTATCATAATCAAGAGTTGGAGTCAGTCGTCACTAACGCTAAGCCGTATGACGGTATGTTCGAAAGTAAGACTTAACGAATAATATCCTTAGAATAAAATAAAGTTAAGTTATGAACTTATGACCGCATACATAATTATATATATAATTATATATATAATCTGTAAATTAAGAGTTTTTTTAATGGAATAGGATGGGATTGCTATTAATAAAGTAACTATATAAAGTATTGAATACCTACATATCTATGTTGCTTACCACAGACTACAGAGTGCTGTTGAATATAATAATATGAATTATGAATAATAAATAGTCAGTAATGTTTACATTTAGATTGTTTTCTGCACATTTATCAAATTTGAAATTTCCAATACCTTACTATTTAAAAAATACTTAATATAGTGACACATTTATCAAATTTGAAATTTCCAATACCTTACTATTTTAAAAATACTTAATATAGTGACATAGCTTCTTTAATTGTCCTTTGCATATAAACACATGCATGTGAACACTGAAAACTGTGCTATTCTGGCCTACTTTACATATTTTATGATGTTATGAATATATCGAGAAACGAAATTAATAGAAGTAATAAATAATACTATTACTTAGAATTAAATGATCAATTAAAAGTTATTATAAATGTATATGGTAAGCTTGATTTACTAACTTTACATCCTTTTTTAAGTAAATTTTTCAGATTCAAATGCTTGGTCTTACTTTAACCATTGTAATGAATGTTAGGAAAAGTTATACTGAATTTGTTAAAATAATTTGAGTACTTACGTATTATACTAAATTTTATCACCTATTCTTTTAGTAAAATTGTTCTGGTTCTGGTTCATTTATTACTATCAATTGTGTTTTTGTAATTAACTGCTTCTCATAAAGTTTTGGTGTTTACAAAAAATATAGCCATCTTTACTATGTTTTAGTGAATGTCTAATCTTTACAGTTGATGGCGGTTTCTCCCGCAAGGCGTGTTGGTGGGACTTTGCCCGGCATCTGGACAGACTGGATGCTGTCCTGTTCACCCGGTTGAACAACTGCTCCATGTCTGGCATGGCTGCCGTGTTGCACAGGAAAGCTACTGCCAATGTCTACCCACAGATCGGACATTTTTTCTGTAATCTTGAAGTAAGACAATCATATTTTGTACATGAACACATTAAAATATATGGATATATCATAACATTGATACCTATTCATATAAAAAAAATCATTTTAAAATACTTCAGGTGTGTTTAAAATATAAAACTCACTCAGAATCTAATTGGAATTGTAATTAATATATTATATATCTTACAATTACATAGGTTAAAAGATAAAATATCATATTGTCAACTTTGGGAAGTTGTACAGAGGAAATAATAGGTATTTGGAATTGATTCAGATAAATTTTCCAGTTTAATAGCTAGATGGATATAATAATATTATAATTTTGTCTCTTCAGGCACATTTCATACAAAAAACTCATAATTATATTGAGTTTTACTGTTGAACCAAAGCTGGAAAACACCATATTTTGCTATAACTTTTTGCATTCTTTTTTACCATATTTTTAAATCAGTTTAATTGATACATATTAACAGGCTTCATGTATTTCAGGATCGGCGTGGCATATCAAGTCCTGATGGAGATAAGGATTCAGATCCCCTCATGGTATCCCTGCTGCAGGCGGGCTCTGACATGATGGCTGATCTCCGACACATTAACCTCAAACCACAACATTGCTATCGAAGCCCAGAACCAATCAACTTATACCACAAAGTTGGACATGGTAATTATTTGTAGGCAACTTTGTATTTTTTTTCTTAAATCCATGATTAAACTTATTTACTTTTTGTTACAGGCACATTGGATATGTTTGTTTTAAATCCGTCCAAAGACTCCAAATATGTACGTGATTTTTTAAAAAGATGGCATAACAGTGAACAAAAACTTTTTGAAGGTGCTAGTGCATCTGGACCTTTTAATTTTCCAATTCCCAACTTAGTATCAATATGTGCATTATTAGTTTGGCGGCCAGCAAATCCTGATGACAATATAACTAGAATTATGTTTCCTGGTTCTACCCCACAGCATAAAATATTTGAAGGGTTAGAAAAACTTAAACATCTTGAATTTCTTCAACGTCCAACATATACAGGACGACAGATGTCCGCTGCGTCTAACATTGCAACAAGCAAAACTACGGCTACTTTGAGTACTGCTGCGCCCATAAAGAACACAAAAACTCTAGCTTCCAAGATAAATCGAGAGAAGATTGAAAAAAAAGATGAAAAGAGTATTGAGACTGATATGCAGGTTTCAAAGTTTGATAAAATTAAAGAGGTTTCTAATAATGTTATTGACAATAAGTTAATAAGTGAACTTGTTGATGAAGAGAATAAACAATTAGAATCTGTTTTAAATGAGGCCATTATAAGTCATGTGGACACAAAATTAGATGAAAAAATACTTCAAAATGATATCGCAAAAGATAGCAAGCAGAAGAAAGGCAAGAAAAAAGAAAAATCTACAGATATAAAGACTAAACGGATGGATAAAACCGACGAAACCAAAGATACTACTCACTCAAAGTTCGACACAAAGAAAATCGATGTAGACAGTAAATTAAAAGCTGAAGCAAAGAAAAAATCAGAAAAACCTAAGTCTGAATTATATGCCTCAGTAACAAAAAGTAGAACAAATCGGATAACGCAAAAAGTTACAGATCGAAAAACTACGACTTCTTTAGATAAGAAAATTGTGGCTGATGACAAAAAATCGCCACCCGCAACACCAAAGAAATCCATTGATGTCAAAAGTCAGTCGCAGTTAGCTAAAGATAAAGTAAAACTAAAGACCAGAAAAGTTAGCCCCGGAAGCACTCCAGCAAAAAGCGTTAAAGAAGCTAGCAACAGAAGAGTTGTTGAGTCGAAATATAAACAAGCTTCGCCGAAACGGGATTTAATACAAAAAGCAGGTGAAAAAAGGGAACCTAAAATGAAAAGAGAGCCAATATCTAGAAGACCTAGGCCAGTAACATCGCCAATTAAGGGACTCAAATCTGCTAAGAGTCCATCAAAGAGTATAAAATCTTCAAAAGCTGATACGTCTAAGCTTATGGGATTACAAAGAGTTAATTACGAAGATATTTTAAAAGAGGCTAAAAAGTCTGATGAGGAAACCTCAAAATCTTTCGATGAGATCAAACAGCAAGAGTTTGATGAGCGAGAAGAGCAAGAAATTGTTAGAGAAATCGAAGCGGTCTTTAATAGAGACAGTGAAGTGGAAGAACGAGTAGAATACGTTGGCAGATCTGATATAGAAAAGATCACTTGTCTACTAGATGATACTAAAACAGGAAACATTGACGGTGATTTTGAAGAAGAGTATTTAATTATAGAAAAGGAAGAAGTCGAACAATATACAGAAGATTCTATAGTTGAGAAAGAAGATGAGCTACGGAAACACATAAAAGATAAAGAGGAATCTGAAAAGAAGCAAATCAGTGAAATAAAAGCGGATCTCAAGCCTGAAACCATAACTCAAAATGGTGACCAAGATAAACGTCTAGATTCTAAAGAGCATTCAATAAGTGTTGAAGAAAAACAAGATATTAGTAGTGAAAAAAAGACATCAGATAGCAAAAGTGCTATGAAACCAAAAGACTCGATTGAGAATATAATACAAGAATCACAGCCTGAAGAGAAAGTATCAACCACAATTGAATCAGGCGCCACAACGGCACCTACACTACCCGAAGATGAACGAATTACGTTAGATGATATAAAAGAAGATGAGTTGGTTGAAGAAAAATATGTAAAGGAACAAACAAAGGAAGTTGCCGCCCCCAAAACTTTAATTGACATACAAAATCTTACTAGCTTCGAAAAAAGTTCTAAACAAACTCCACAGCAGACACTTATAAGAGAAATAGTAAAAACACCTGACGAAGTAGCTGATTTACCATTACACGAAGAAGTTGATTATAGGACTTACGAGGAAAAAAAGACTCCTGGCGAAGATGTTAGTAAACGTAAAATTTATATACTTCAAAAAGACATTAAAGTTCCTAAAGACCTGGCTATAATAATTAAACCCACCTCACCTAAAGAAACAAATACTATTCAAGATGTGATTGTTAGTACAACTCAACGTCTGTCACACCCGGAATTGGTGACCGTAACTCCGGGTTCTGCTCCTGACTCACCTATGTATCAGGAACCCTCTAAGCTTGAAAAATCTGTTAAATCTTTGGACCCTGTAAAAGAATACGATGATGAACGATACAACTTTTCACAATTTACTGAAAAACTCAGAGAAACGCATATAACAACTGTTGATTCGCCAATTAAAGATGATATTGTGGTTATTGAAGAACTACATATGCCTGAAAAGATACCTTCAATACCAGAAGATGTAGAAAAAGAAATTGAAGAAGCTCAAATTTTAGAACAAACTGACAAACCTCCAATCAGTCCTAAAGAAGTAGAAAAAATTGTTGCTGATGTTGCTGAAGTTTTAAAATCGGATAAATCCTTGGACGAATTAATTGCAGAAAAATCACCAATCTTGTTAAAATCCCCAGAAAAATTATTGCCTTGCGAAAATATCGCTGAAATTACAACAGATTTCTTGTTTGATCAAAGAAAAATAACTTCAATCAAATCAATTAAAGATGAGTTACTACCAAAAAGTGATGAAGTTGACACTGTTATTAAATCAGATACTACGATTGAGAAAACTCAGAAAGAAGTATCGCCTATTAAATCGCTTACATCTGAAGATATCAGCGACCCTTCAGAAAAAACAGTACTAAGCGAAACAAAAAAAATAAAGACAGAAATTCAAGACAATAATACTTTAACATGTGTACTACCAGAGGTAGAACAAGAAACTGATGGCCAATTGACAGAAAAACGAGTAAGCATCACATTGGATTCTGCTAAAACATTAGAAAAGTTAGAAGAAAAGATGGCGGACCTTAAACAAAAGGAACAAATCAAAAGTACCGAGTTAATTGCTCCTTCATTGGACACTAAAGACATTAAACAAACAGATAAAACAAAAGAAGAAATTCTTGTTAAAGAAAAAGAACAAATTGATGAGTCAATTGTGAAGGAACCGACGAAGGAAAAGAAAAAAGAGAGTAAATCTGTAATAGGAAGTTTCATCGATAAGTTTGACGAGAAGCTAAGCAAAGCTAAAGGTTTGTTTAGTAGAAAGAGTGATAAAATTGCTGAAACTTCAAAAGAAAAAATAAAAACAGAAGATACACATAAAACTGTTCTTGAAACTACTTACAAAGATCTAACAGATTTTGAAAAAGATATGATAGAATTGTTGTCTTTTAATGAAGATATACAAGATTATTTGACAAACTACATTATCTTTGATGAACCAGAGGAAACAATTTTAGAGAAAAAAGAGGAGGTTAATGAGAATAATACCATTATCAAAAGACTTACAGTGACTCGGGTAATCAAAACTAAATTTATGCATAAAAATGGAATAATTCAAAAGTTAAAGATTGTCACTATAATAACAACGACAAATGAATATCCCAATGGTAGTATAATAATTGTTAATGATGGAAGTGCTATGTTGACTGATATCAACGATAAAACTGAATTTCAAATCAACGAACTAGCTGACTTCACCATCCTCGAAAATCAAGCAATTGATAAAAAACAAAAAGAAGATATTGTCTTATTAAGGGATAAACAAATAAAACAAAAACTGTCTATTGTAACAGTAAAAGACATACTCACAACTCGAAACAAACTAAAACATAAGGAAAAACTGACAGTAAATACGACTAAAGAGATGTTCATTAGAGACGTTCCTACAATTGTCAATGTCATAACAATTTTTATTTCCGATTACAATTTAAAGACCAAAATCGTCGACAACAAAAAACTCGCTAAAGTCGTTATAACAGCAAAACAAACTTTAGATACAAATGGCTCTACAATTATAATGAAAGATAAAGATTTGCAAGTAAAAGACGTAATAGAAAAGGATATAAGTCCATCTAAAGAAGCTTCAGTAATCATTATTCAAGAGAAAGAACAAGGCTTAGTAAAAGACTCAAGTCCTGTTAAAAATGATACTTTGACAAAGGATAAAGTCATTGGCAAGGATGAAAGCCCATCTGAAGAAATTCCAGGAAAGGTTGCTAGCCCTATCCAGGACCAAGGACAAAGTCCTGCTTTAGAAAAAGAACCAAGTCCTGTTAAAGACGGTCCTCTTGCCAAGGAAGATGTCATCGATAAGGATGTAAGCCCGCCTAAAGGAATCCCAGAAAAGACGGCTAGCCCTATCCAGGACAAAGTACCAAGCCCTGCATTAGAAAAGGAAGCAAGCCCTGTAAAAGATATTTCTTTGACCAAGGAACATATCATCAAAAAGGATATAAGCCCGCCCAGAGAAATAATAGAAAAGGCTCATAGCCCTACACAGGACAAGGTACCAAGTCCTGAATTAGAGAAAGAAGCAAGTCCTGTAATAGATATTTCTATGACCAAGGAAGATGTCATCAAAAAGGATATAAGCCCGCCTAGAGAAATTCCAGAAAAGTTGGCTAGCCCTATCCTGGACAAGGAACCAAGTCCTGCATTAGAAAAGGAAGCAAGCCCTGTAAAAGATATTTCTTTGACCAAGGGAGATATCATCAAAAAGGATGTCAGCCCATCTAAAGCAATTCCAGAAAAGGCTTCTAGCCCTATTCAAGACAAGGCACCAAGTCCTGCATTAGAAAAGAAAGCTATCCCTGTAAAAGATGTTACTTTGACCAAAGAAGAATTCATCGAAAAGGATGTCAGCCCATCTAAAGCAATTCCAGAAAAGGCTTCTAGCCCTTTCGAGGACAAAGTACCACGTCCTGCACCAGAAAAAGAACAAAGCCCTGAAAAAGATGTTTCTATAACCAAGGAAGATGTCATCAAAAAGGATGTAAGCCCAACCAGAGAAATAATAGAAAAGGCCCATAGCCCTACACAGGACAAGGTACCAAGTCCTGAATTAGAGAAGGAAGCAAGTCCTGTAATAGATATTTCTATGACCAAGGAAGATGTCATCAAAAAGGATGTAAGCCCAACTGAAGCCATTCCAGAAAAGGTCTCTAGCCCTACACAGGACAAGGGACCAAGTCCTGAATTAAAAAAAGAAGCAAGTCCTGTAAAAGATATTTCTATGACCAAGGAAGATGTCATCAAAAAGGATGTAAGCCCATCTAAAGCAATTCCAGAAAAGGCCGCTAGCCCAATACAGGACAAAGTACCAAGTCCTGCTTTAGAAAAGGAACCAAGCCCTGAAAAAGATGTTTCTTTAACCAAAGAAGATGTCATCAAAAAGGATGTAAGCCCAACCAGAGAAATAATAGAAAAGGCCCATAGCCCTACACAGGACAAGGTACCAAGTCCTGAATTAGAGAAGGAAGCAAGTCCTGTAATAGATATTTCTATGACCAAGGAAGATGTCATCAAAAAGGATGTAAGCCCGCCAAGAGAAATTCCAGAAAAGTCGGCTAGCCCTATCCAGGACAAAGTACCAAGTCCTGCATTGGAAAAGGATGCAAGCCCTGTAAAAGATGTTACTTTGACCACAGAAGATGTCATCGAAAAGGATGTCAGCCCATCTAAAGCAATTCCAGAAAAGGCCGCTAGCCCTATACAGGACAAAATACCAAGTCCTGCTTTAGGAAAGGAACCAAGCCCTGAAAAAGATGTTTCTTTAACCAAGGAAGATGTCATCAAAAAGGATGTAAGCCCAACCAGAGAAATTCCAGAAAAGTCGGCTAGCCCTATCCAGGACAAAGTACCAAGTCCTGCATTAGAAAAGGATGCAAGCCCTGTAAAAGATGTTACTTTGACCAAGGAAGATATCATCAAAAAGGATGTAAGCCCGCCTAGAGAAATTCCAGAAAAGTCGGCTAGCCCTATCCAGGACAAGGAACCAAGTCCTGCATTAAAAAAGGAAGCAAGCCCTGTAAAAGATATTTCTTTGACAAAGGAAGATATCATCAAAAAGGATGTAAGCCCGCCTAGAAAAATTCCAGGAAAGTCGGCTAGCCCTATCCAGGACGAAGTACCAAGTCCTGCATTAGAAAAGGAAGCAAGCCGTGTTAAAGATATTTCTTTGACCAAGGAAGATGTCATCAAAAAGGATGTAAGCCCGCCAAGAGAAATTCCAGAAAAGTCGGCTAGCCCTATCCAGGACAAAGTACCAAGTCCTGCATTAGAAAAGGATGCAAGCCCTGTAAAAGATGTTACTTTGACCACAGAAGATGTCATCGGAAAGGATGTCAGCCGATCTAAAGCAATTCCAGAAAAGGCCGCTAGCCCTAAACAGGACAAAGTACCAAGTCCTGCATTAGAAAAGGTAGCAAGCCCTGTAAAAGATGTTACTTTGACCAAGAAAGATGTCATCAAAGATGATGTAAGCCCGCCTAGAGAATTTCCAGAAAAGGCCGCCAGCCCTATTCAAGGCAAGAAACCAAGTCCTGCATTAGAAAAGGAAGCAAGTCCTGTAATAGATATTTCTATGACCAAGGAAGATGTCATCAAAAAGGATGAAAGCCCGCCCAGAGAATTAACAGAAAAGGCCCCTAGCCCTACACATGACAAGGTACCAAGTCCTGAATTAGAGAAGGAAGCAAGTCCTGTAATAGATATTTCTATGACCAAGGAAGATGTCATCAAAAAGGATGAAAGCCCGCCTAGAGAAATTCCAGAAAAGTCGGCTAGCCCTATCCAGGACAAGGAACCAAGTCCTGAATTAGAGAAGGAAGCAAGTCCTGTAATAGATATTTCTATGACCAAGGAAGATGTCATCAAAAAGGATGAAAGCCCGCCTAGAGAAATTCCAGAAAAGTCGGCTAGCCCTATCCAGGACAAGGAACCAAGTCCTGCATTAGAAAAGGATACAAGCCCTGTAAAAGATGTTACTTTGACCAAGGAAGATGTCATCAAAAAGGATGTAAGCCCGCCTAGAGAATTTCCAGAAAAGTCGGCTAGCCCTATCCAGGACGAAGTACCAAGTCCTGCATTAGAAAAGGAAGCAAGCCCTGTTAAAGATATTTCTTTGACCAAGGAAGATGTCATCAAAAAGGATGTAAGCCCGCCTAGAGAAATTCCAGAAAAGTCGGCTAGCCCTATCCAGGATAAGGAACCAAGTCCTGAATTAGAGAAGGAAGCAAGTACTGTAATAGATATTTCTATGACCAAGGAAGATGTCATCAAAAAGGATGAAAGCCCGCCTAGAGAAATTCCAGAAAAGTCGGCTAGCCCTATCCAGGACAAGGAACCAAGTCCTGCATTAGAAAAGGATATAAGCCCTGTAAAAGATGTTACTTTGACCAAGGAAGATGTCATCAAAAAGGATGTAAGCCCGCCTAGAGAATTTCCAGAAAAGTCGGCTAGCCCTATCCAGGACGAAGTACCAAGTCCTGCATTAGAAAAGGAAGCAAGCCCTGTTAAAGATATTTCTTTGACCAAGGAAGATGTCATCGAAAAGGATGTAAGCCCGCCAAGAGAAATTCCAGAAAAGTCGGCTAGCCCTATCCAGGACAAAGTACCAAGTCCTGCATTAGAAAAGGATACAAGCCCTGTAAAAGATGTTACTTTGACCAAGGAAGATGTCATCAAAAAGGATGTAAGCCCGCCAAGAGAAATTCCAGAAAAGTCGGCTAGCCCTATCCAGGACAAAGTACTAAGTCCTGCATTAGAAAAGGATGCAAGCCCTGAAAAAGATGTTTCTTTAACCAAGGAAGATGTCATGAAAAAGGATGAAAGCCCCCCCAGAAAAATAACAGAAAAGGCCCCTAGCCCTACACAGGACAAGGTACCAAGTCCTGAATTAGAGAAGGAAGCAAGTCCTGTAATAGATATTTCTATGACCAAGAAAGATGTCATCAAAAAGGATGAAAGCCCGCCTAGAGAAATTCCAGAAAAGTCGGCTAGCCCTATCCAAGACAAGGAACCAAGTCCTGCATTAGAAAAGGATACAAGCCCTGTAAAAGATGTTACTTTGACCAAGGAAGATGTCATCAAAAAGGATGTAAGCCCGCCTAGAGAATTTCCAGAAAAGTCGGCTAGCCCTATCCAGGACGAAGTACCAAGTCCTGCATTAGAAAAGGAAGCAAGCCCTGTTAAAGATATTTCTTTGACCAAGGAAGATGTCATCAAAAAGGATGTAAGCCCGCCTAGAGAAATTCCAGAAAAGTCGGCTAGCCCTATCCAGGACAAAGTACCAAGTCCTGCATTAGAAAAGGATGCAAGTCCTGTAATAGATATTTCTATGACCAAGGAAGATGTCATCAAAAAGGATGAAAGCCCGCCTAGAGAAATTCCAGAAAAGTCGGTTAGCCCTATCCAGGACAAGGAACCAAGTCCTGCATTAGAAAAGGATACAAGCCCTGTAAAAGATGTTACTTTGACCAAGGAAGATGTCATCAAAAAGGATGTAAGCCCGCCAAGAGAAATTCCAGAAAAGTCGGCTAGCCCTATCCAGGACAAAGTACTAAGTCCTGCATTAGAAAAGGATGCAAGCCCTGAAAAAGATGTTTCTTTAACCAAGGAAGATGTCATGAAAAAGGATGAAAGCCCCCCCAGAAAAATAACAGAAAAGGCCCCTAGCCCTACACAGGACAAGGTACCAAGTCCTGAATTAGAGAAGGAAGCAAGTCCTGTAATAGATATTTCTATGACCAAGGAAGATGTCATCAAAAAGGATGTAAGCCCGCCTAGAGAAATTCCAGAAAAATCGGCTAGCCCTATCCAGGACAAGGAACCAAGTCCTGCATTAGAAAAGGATGCAAGCCCTGTAAAAGATGTAACTTTGACCACAGAAGATGTCATCGAAAAGGATGTCAGCCCATCTAAAGCAATTCCAGAAAAGGCCGCTAGCCCTATCCAGGACAAAGTACCAAGTCCTGCATTAGAAAAGGAAGAAAGCCATGTAAAAGATATTTCTTTGACCCAGGAAGATGTCATCAAAAAGGATGTAAGCCCGCCAAGAGAAATTCCAGCAAAGTCGGCTTGCCCTATCCAGGACAAAGTACCAAGTCCTGCATTAGAAAAGGATGCAAGCCCTGTAAAAGATGTTACTTTGACCAAGGAAGATGTCATCAAAAAAGATGTCAGCCCGCCAAGAGAAATTCCAGAAAAATCGGCTAGCCCTATCCAGGACAAGGTACCAAGTCCTGAATTAAAGAAGGAAGCAAGTCCTGTAATAGATATTTCTATGACCAAGGAAGATGTCATCAAAAAGGATGTAAG